AAATCCGCTATGATAGCATAGCAGGTAACGTAGCGGTCGCTATAGACAACTAGTGGGTATTTAATAAAAAAATTAAAATATAAATCTAATAATTAAAATAAGAGACAAATCTAGTAATAAAAAGCATAAATTGACCTAAGAGTTTATAAAAATTATCAAAAATCATAAAAAACAATATTCTCAAGTTTTAACAAATAAAATCATAGATTATAATAATCAAACAAGACAATAAAATACTTAAAGAGTACAAAAATCAAACAAGATCAATTCAGAAAAAAGTCAAATAATAAAACTTTAAAACAAAAAATCATTCAAGAGTCTAATAATCTTCATCACTCTCATCTGCTTCTAATTCTTCTTGCTCAGCCACCAAATCATCATCATCCTTGTTTTTTCGACTTGTTCCACCAGGCTCAAACTCCTCTTCTTCCTCCTTTGACATTTCAAGATCTAATAAAGTATGAGCTTCTTCACTACTTCTAGTAGCATAAATTGCATCAACACTAGAGGTTGTGGTTGGAGTTCTAAAAGTTAGTGCTGGAATTTGAGAGGTGAAGGCTGCAGCGGTATTTCTTTTTGCTTGTCCCCTAGTATAAGTTCTAATTTCTCTTGCCCCTGATGCTCTCTCCACATCTCCCCAAGTTAGATTATCATTTTCAAAAACCAAATCATTATGAGCATCTTCAACTTCACCACTTTCTCCAACCAACCACTCATTATCGAAATAGATCTCATTTAGAACAATATGATCAATCTCATCTCGCATATCATAACGAGCTTTAAGAGCTTGGTTGTACTTTACAAAAATCAAATCATGCATTTTTTGGTGGTCAAGTCAGTTTCTCTTCTTAGAATAAATCTGAGATAGCAAAAAGAAAAAACGAAAAAAAGCAAAATTTACATTCTCTTTATTTTAGAAAATATGTTTGTTAAAAAAAATTTACTTTTTAATTCATTCATTCAATTAATAGAAAATAAAAATAGAAACTTACTTGTTCAAATACACTCCAATTACGCTCACATCCATATGCACTGCATGTCAAACTTAAGATTTTGATAGCCAACTTTTGTAAATTTGGTGCCGAATGCCCAAACGAAGTCCACCATTCAGTTAAAAAAATGCAAAACCTTATTTGATTAGCCAATTTAAAATTATTATAATTAATTGTTAAGCAAGTGACAAAGGAAGGCAACTAAAAAGGATAAAGTAATAATAATTTCAATAAACAAAAAAAAAAAAAAGAAGAAAAAATAGAAAGCATAAAGCTATTCAAGAAAAATAAAGTGATATCATACAAGAGATCTTACCAGGTGATTTCGAAACCCTTGATTTAATTGCTAAGTCATCACCAAAGCGACCTTGAGCTTTATTATAAATTGCCACTTCATTATATATTTTGAGTTGCAAATTAACATCAAGCTCTATCTTCTTAATGCAATCCATCAATCCACCAGTTAGTCTCAAATCCAAACCCATATTTGGAGTGCTATAAAAGACTACAGGATTTAAGTAATGAGCTGCTGCTTGCAAGGCTCGATAAAGTTGGCATTCCCATCTATTGTCAATAATTTCAAAGATTTCCTTGTACTTGCTTTCATCATCATTTTGCAATCTCTTAATGGCATCCTTAGCTTTGGTCATTGCCTCAAAAATATAAGGCATTGCTGGCTTACTTTCACTATCAACAAGCCGCAAAACAGTCACAAGAGGACCCATAACCCTTAGAGTATATAGCACATTATTCCAAAATGAAGCAGCCATTACTATACTTACTATACTTACTGCCTTTACTCCTTTAGCATCTCTAGCCAACTTACTACTTGTCCATTCATTAGATGTAAACATCTTTCAAAGGTTGGCCTTTTGCTTGTACATACTTTGTAATGAAAGAAAATTCATAGCAAACCTTGTCACTCCATATCGAACCAACTCTGTCTTGTTAGTGAATCGCCTCATTAAGTTTAAGGTGCTTGAATGGTTGTAGATGAAGCCAACAAGACTCATTGCTCTTTGTATTGTCTTCTTAACCTTTGAAATCTTTCCAATGTCCACTAGTATAAGATTAGTATAAGATCAATACAATGTGCTGCACATAGAGTCCAAAATATGTGTTTTCTCTTCTCTTCCAATAATTTACCTAAGAGAAATAAAAAAAATGCATTAATAAATTAAATTTAAAGTTAAATAAATAACAAATACAATAGCATAGCTATACTTACCAACTACAACATAATTGCTCCATTATATGTTATAAGTTGAACTACAAGTTCTTTCCTAATCTCCTCCACAATGCTATCAATCAACTCAAACAGCTTTTCCTCGGTTTTGACAAAAGCAGAAGCATCAATAGATTTTACAAACATTGTACCAGCAGGAGAATTAACCAAAAAATTGATTATACTTCTCTGCCTCCAATCCGTCCATCCATCGAACATAATAGTGACCCCATATCTTGGTCATTGTTTCCTATGATACTCCATTAATTTTTTAGTGTACTCCAACTCTTTATTTAACCATGAAACCCTCAATTCATGGTAACCAGGAGATTTGAGATTTTTTCCATATTGTCCAATGGCTTCTACCATTAGCTTGAAACTTTCTGAACGAGCAACATTAAAAGAGATGCCATTTTTGGTAGAAGAACCAAGCAATGTATTGACTTGTTTCAACCCTCAACTTGTTGTTAGAATCTTTTATAGAAGATTGCCTACACTTTTCAAGCTTTCTCTTTTTAAGAGTTTCCTCAGGTTTTTGGTACATGTACAAATCCATGGGGCCTTTGTATTGCCCAATTTTGGCCTTTTTACTTCTACCACCAATAGATAAAGTTGATTCTCTTGGCATAAATTCTTCCTCTTCATCTTCCTCTTCAAGATCAACAGTACCACAACTAGGCATAAACATCTCCTTTTGTAATTTTTTAGTTGTGGTTTTCTGTTGTAAATTGGCCCACAACTCTTCCTTAATTGCTGGTGGGCATTTACAGCATGGAGCCACATCCCCTTTGATCCCTATTTGATGCCTTTTAGCTCTAGTGATACCACTAGTGGTAACTTTATTACAAAAGTTACAGACCACCCAACTTGAGTTATTAGGATCTTGCAACTTATTATATTTTCATCCAATTTGATCATCTAATCTGCTTGTTTTTTATCTTGATGAATTGGTTGTTGATCCACTTTCCATGTCATTGTTAAAATCAACTTATTATATATACAATCTAGACTTTCATATTAAAAAATACATCATAGAATTGAAATCAAGATTTTATTTTTCCTATATAAACTTGCTTCAATACAGAAAAAAAAAAA